TTTTTTTTTTTTTTTGGTGCTGGGGATTGAACCCAGGGTCTTGTACATGCAAGGCAAGCACTCTACCAACTGAGCTCTATCCCAGTCCTGCTTTAACTCTTCTTAAAACTATATCCCCAAAGGATTTAGAAGGCCAAGTTAATATGGTACAGGTGATAGATTAGAAAATCACCAATGGATACTTAGATCAGTGAGTGCGAGATCAACGAGGGATGGGAAATCTGCCTTATCTCAAAGGTCACAGCCGCAGAGGGCGCTGCTCAGATTTCCACCAAGTCTGCCGCTGTGCTGCAAGCCCACAGTTGCATTTCAGCTAGGGGCACAATTTTCTCAGCTGGGATGCTGAGCACAGATGGGCACCAGGGACTGGCCATCTTCACCAGATACAGGGCTTCTCTATCTGGCTGTCTCTGCTTCAGCACCACTGGGTTAGCAATATGCTTCAACAGAGGCGCCCAGTCATGAGTCCTTCTGCAGGCATCAGGCGCACACCTCAAATGCTCACTTAACTCCACATCTGCTTACCAGAAGGCCTGGAACACACAAAGTATTTCTTCCCAAGTCACCTGCCAGTTACAAATGTGGACACAGTGGAGAAGCCTCCCAAACATGAGCTAAAAAGCAGGTATCACTAAGTGTGACAGAGAGGGTCTCAGTCTCCCAACATCAGGGAGTGATCAGGATGCAACAGGACTTCATGGCGTTCTGCCAAAAAAGTACAGACTGATTTGGATCACCAGGAAAAGACTCAGGTCAAGGGAGATGCTGCAGAACAGTCTGTTCTCTTCAGGAATCCCAGGGTCAGGAAAGACAAGACAGGCTGAAGAGATATTCCACATCCATACTAAAACAGACATGACAGGGCTAGGCTGGGGCACAGTGGCAGAGTGCTTGCCTCACACGTGTGAGGCACTGGGTTCAAGCCTCAGCACCACATAAAAATAAACAAATAAAATAAAAGTCATGCTCTCCATCTACAACTACAAGAGCGGTTTGTAAGCAGGATCAAACCTTGGGTTCGATCCTCAGCACCACATACAAAAAGTAAGCAAATAAATAAAGGCATGTTGTCCATCTACAACTACAAACAAAACAAACAATAAAAAAAAAAAGAAACTAGTGGGGGCTGGGGATGTGGCTCAAGTGGTTGCACGCTCGCCTGGCATGCGTGTGGCCCTGGTTCCATCCTCAGCACCACATACAAAGATGTTGTGTTCCACTGATAACTAAAAAATAAATATTAAAAAAATTCTCTCTGTCTCTCTCTCTATCTCTCTGTCTCTCTCTTTAAAAAAATAATTTTAAATTGTCAAGGCAGGGGACTGAGATTATAGCTCAGCGGTAGAGTGCTTGCCTAGCACGTGCAGAGTCCTTGGTTTGATCCTCAGCACTACATAAAAATAAATAAACAAAATAGTTTTATTTTGTTTATTTATTTTTAAATATATAAATAAACAAGTTTGTTCATCTACAACTAAAAGATATATATAAATTGTCCAGGCTGGCCTTAAAGTTGCAATCTTCCTACCTCAGCTTCCTGAGTGGCTGGGATTACAGACATGTATAATCCACACTTAGTTTTGTTTTGTTTTTTAATAACAGCTTTGTAGAACAGACTTCATTTTCCAAAAGCAAGGATTGTTGTGCCAAATTAGCAACTCTGTGTGCTAGGGGCCATGAAAGTTGTTGGTTTTTACTCCCAGGGTGATGGAAAGCCTTTAGGGAGATAAGTAGGAGTGTGTGCCCCATGCAAAATGACCCTACCAGGGGTAGGGAGAGGAAGACAGCAAGAGGTGACAGGGGCCAACAACTGGGCACAGTGGCGCAGAACTGTAATCCTAGTGACAAGTTTGAGGCCAACATGGACAACTTAGACCTGTTTTGAAAAATAAAAAGGGCTGGGGATGTGGCTCAGTGGTAGAGAATCCCAGTACCACACACACACACAAAGAAAGAAAGAAAGGAAGAAAGGAAGAAAGGAAGAAAGAAAGAAAAAAAGAAAGAAAGAAAGAAAGAAAGAAAGAAAGAAAGAAAGAAAGAAAAGATTCTGTGCACTGGACTCACCAACAACTTGGATATCAGGTGAGTGGGAAAGAGAAATAGCAGTGACTGCAGGTTAGGCTCAGGCAGAGGCAGTGTGAGGAATGAGAGGACTTTTCATCTCCAAGAAGACAGAGTAGTGGAAAGGGGTAAATGGCACCTCTGGAGCCCTTGGAGCAGGATGGCTTTAAGGCCACAGCATGAACCTGCATGCAGGGCTCTGTCTCAGGAACACAGTCAGGGCCCGGAGGCTTTCCACCTCCTCCCTGTCTCTGGCCCAAGCCATCATCACCCTTGCTGGAATGTGGCCATGGCCAGTCCCTGTCCAACTAGTCTCCCTGCTTCAGCCCTGCCTCCAAGCAATCCATTCTCAAAACAACACCCTTTCTTAACAAATTGGACAACAGTATTCCCCTGCTCAAGAGTCCTCCAATGACTTCCTTTTATCCAGAGTAATCCAAATGTGGCCCATCATATGCTTTACAGGTGGCCCCAAGAACTTCCCCCATCTCACATGCCCTTTTTGCAATGCAATCTTTTTTTTCTTTTTTGTACTGGAGATGGAACCCAAGGCCCTCAGCTCCCCGCTCTTAAAAATATTTTATTTAGAGACAGGTTCTTGCTGAGTTGCTTAGAGCCTCAGTAAATTGCTGAGGCTGGCTTTGAAAATGTGATCCTCCTGCCTCAACCTCCCCAGCCACTGGGATTACATGCATGTGCTGCCATGCCTGGCTGCTAGGCACTCTTGAGTGACTCCCATCTGGGGTAATGTCTGTAACACCGGCTGGATGTTTGCAGCCATTTGGACCACTAAGTTTCAAGGTAACTTTCTATTAGTGCAGAATGGGGAATGTGAAAGCCGTTAGGAAGCTTTCCAGGCCCTACCCAATCATTGCCTGGCCTCCAGCCTACTGCTGGACCATTCAATAAGGCTGACCTGGGGACACGCACCTGCACTGCTCCAGCCACACTGGCACTCTGGCTTCTCCTCTCCTGACTCTGGTCCTTTGTGCTCATTGGGGCTTTCTGCTCTCAGAGGCTTGCTGGGTGTCATCAGTTTCTTCCTTCTTCACTCAAACACACCTCCTTGGGGTAGATTCCTTTAAACAATTCCTCCTCCTCCTCCTCCTC